GTTCCTTTGCAATTCAATTCGGTGGGGAGAAAAGAAGAATCACCCAGAAAGTAAAGATAAGACTTAAAACACAAAAGCAATCAGAAGCAATCTCAAGCAACAATCATACATGGAACCAGGCTAACTGGTTTGGGGCGGAAGGGGCTGGGCATTGATTGCTTTATAGTGGAATTTATAATTGCTTTTTTTCAAGGAATCAACTCCTCTGAACCATTTTAGGAATGACTTATGGCTTGCAGAAACTGTACATTCTGTTTGTTTGTTTGTTTGTTTGTGTCGTCCTAGTCTTTCATTTCGCTCAGCGAAAATACGTTGTAATGGAGTTATTCCTCATTTCTGGGAACTAATTTTTGTTTGGTTGTTCAAATTTTAGATGGAAAATCGCGAAAGGCCAAGTACCCTGATAATCCTGAACTCGGTAAGTCGTTTACAATGCGTAAACTCAAACATTTCTATGTTTTAACTCCTTTGTAGTCAATATTTTGATGGTCAGGAAACGAAGAGGAAAATAAGGGGTGATATTTCTTCGTCACGCAATATTATTGTGCAGCGAAACATCTGTAACACATCTTTGGTACAGTCAGTTAAAGGCTAAAAGTCTTGTGAGTTTATATAGAGTGGGTAGCATTATAGGCGCACTCTGATTGGCTACTCAAACTCCAAATATCCCTTGCTAATCACCTCCGAGCAACGCGCGCGCGATTTGCGCCCGGAAAGATGGTAATCGTTGCTGGAAGAAGTGCGTTCGGGTTTTTACCTAATTAATTATGCAAAAAATACAGTAAAATTGACCAACTTTAATGTGCTAGTGCTGAAGGAAGATTTTTCGTAAGAAATCGGTGGTGTTTTTACTTCAAAATATAATTCATTTGATTTTTATTTGTGGCACTTTTAGGAGCTTTGGTGTAATTTTAAAATTTACATGATTTTTTAACAAAGTACTCTCAAACGCTTGTTGCAGAAAGCGAAAAATAAAGCAACTTCAAGCCTTCAAAACGCGTCTTGGTATATGAGAAATCATGTCAAATTACATGCGGGCACAAAGTTTGGTCCTTATACGAAAATAATATGAAATAAAAAATTTGAATAATTCAGAAAAGTGCCGGCAAAATAAAAGAGTTTGCGACGCACTGTGGCCAAGATCAGGAAGCAAGCAACACTTTTACCTTTACCGGTAACCTTTTAACTCCCAAGATCTCATTGATAATTCTTCTTACTGTCTGCCATATTGTTCTTTAGAAGTTAGTTTGGGGAATTTGGTAATGGATCAAGTAATAATCCCTAAATAAGCTTTTTCTTATTCTCATTACTTGTCTGCTTGATATTGTATTGATATTGTATTGATATTGTATTGATATTGTATTGATATTGTATTGATATTGTAAGGAGAAAGTCTGTCTTGGTCACTCATGGGAGTTAAAGGGTTAACCCCCTGTTACTATCCAGTATCCCAAGTGATCTTGTGTTGTACTTTCATGATCTCAGAGTTAGTCTTCACTTTATATTGAAAAAATTTAATACATACAAGTATAAGTTACCCTTTTTCGAAATGTTTTTTATCCAGTAAATCATTTTTTCTTTGTTTAGAGTGGCATTATCATTGTTGACGAATGTAAACTTGCCGT